CTGTGTCGACCAGAGTTGTAATGCTTTTATATCAGTATTGACTGAAGTCAGTTCGTTTTCTGTCCGACCGGCACTGTGTTATTTTTACCGAGACTACAACAGAGCCACGGCGTAAATTTAGACATGTAGGAGACAATGCTGAGACTCAGATATTGGAGTTTGTTTGATGAGAAGAGGGAAAGGCTTGTAACCGCCGGAATGGTTGTCCTTAAATTTTCGTCATAGGGGATCATTTCTGGCGTTCTTATTTTCATGAAACGATTGGCGGGGCACTTTCGAGTGGTGATAGCGGTAGTGGCAAGTAGACAGCAACTATGTGGTAAGCATAGTGTTTAGTTTCCTGTTCACAGAGAAGTACTCATTTAACAACTTTGAACAAGATGGGCGAGTAACCCTGACCTGTGCTAAAACCTGTTGGTTCTGAGTCTGACACTTTAATGAGCAGCCCCATCGGCTTAGTAATAATCATAAAAACCGCGGTATTAGCGACTGGCCATATTTCAGTTTCGGTAAATACAGGTACAGGCTGAACTGCGAATTACTTTCAGTATATATCGGTGTGGGCGGATTGCTCTGAACATTAACACAGACAACTTACGTCACAGAGTTCCATTAAATTCAGCTGGTTGAAACATAGAATCAAATATGTAAATGTTTACTGCAGCGGTTTCATTTAGCCGTTCATATCACAAATTCTTTGTATTGCTGTAACTGATAAAGAATTGTCATATTGAGATAGAAAGTTTGCAAAAGTTACAGCGTCGATGGCAAATTTTTCATGTATTAAATGCTTGGATTACGTGACTGCATTTGCTAATCTGTCTTAATTCATGACCGGTTGTTAAACTGATATATTGGTGAGGGGCTACGTATTTAAGGCTATTAGATCAGCATCCGTGACAGAGGGTTACCACTTTGGATTGACTTTCGAATCAGTTTGTACCATATAGGCGGATGACCATTCTAGGCCGTGACATATGCAGAAATTTGCCGGTTGCAAAATTGGTTCATTAACGAAAACTGATTTTCCATGCTGACTTAAAATAACGAATATATGTCTTTTCTCTGTATTTAGGACTTTTTGGCTTTTAGAATCAAGAAATACACTTCCACAAAACTTTTCATGCGGTAAGGTCCACGATCATTTCTTACCGTTGATGCGGTTATGCATCCACGTAGTGCAAGTGCTATAATACCACGAAACAAGGAAGTGTCTCCTCCTAAAATGGCTCTTAACCTGTAGAAACAAGGAAATTAGGCTATTTCGCTGTGTAAACTGCAGAAGTACACGACTATGTGATTATCTTTATTTATTCGAAATAATGAAGACCCATCTTTGGCGCATATCATATCGCCTTTTAACGGTTAGAGTATGATTAATCAATTCGTTTTAGAAAATTTGCCTGGAACCTCAATCGCACAGCATCTTGCGCAGGCTGTTCGCAATCGATGCACGTCAGATGAGGTTATGTTCATTTTGAAGGACTGTCCGAATCCGTTAAATGAATCAGGTTCGAAATTTATTCTTTTTTTGCTTATGGAACTTTGTACCGATTTATTTCGTGACCCTCAACCGTTTCGATGACCATCGAAGCAGAGACAATTTTGGATCGGTCTTTGGATTATTTTAGTGGGAAGAAAACCAGCAAATTTTCAAAAGACAACAACATGTATTAGCGATAGCCAGCTCGATGTATGGGCCAAGGGCCATAGCTGAAACCATCGAAAGACTAGGTTTGTCCTTCGTTGTATCCTCCAGAGAATTTCATCGCGATGCACAAGGTGGATGTGCAGTGTTTTGACGGGTTCAGCTGTCCTGGATTTATGGCCACCACTGACTAAACTTATGAAACAAATATACACCAGGAAATCAAACGATATTAAACGGTTTCTAATATGATCTAGCAACGTTGGTTCGAAGAGGGATGTCTTACCTTATAATTGTTTGTTTGGCTGTCATACTGCAGATATGACCAAATTAATATTTGTCAGACATAATATAAAGCAGCGAATCGCTGCTGTTCTCGTTTGACGACAAATTGTTGACCAGTACTTTGGTCTATATTTCGTTTCAAACTTGTTACTGTAGTGTAATATAATTCGGCGGTGGTCGCTGACTCATGGTTCAACAGCTGTTCCTCATGGTCTGGAGAGGTGCTGTTGACTAGCAAACGCTTAGGGGTCGAACGATAGTCTGTTCTCCATGAAATCTTGCACCATTAAGGTTGACGTAACCGACAGAGCCAGAAATAAGGCTACTCAGGGGCAGACTGTTGATCAGGTGGCTCAAGTGTATAGAACACAGGATTGTCGTACCTTAGAATCCAGACCGCTGTGATTTTCCGTTTGATGACCGACCGTAACCACTGGAAAGTTTCCTGATGTAGGTCAGGAAAGGTTTTGTCCCTCCTCGTCTTCAAAGAGGCTTTGAAATTAGCGAACGAGTAGATAAACGATCGACCTGATTGATAGTAAACTACTGAAGTTTGTCTTTCAGAAAATGTTTCAAGGAAATGTGCTAAAGTCTGTTTTAAAACTTTTATTCAGCTGAGATAAATATTTTATTTAGTATTTAGACGGAAGAAAAGATGAAGAAAGCTGTAGATAAGGTTGGACGCTAAACGGTTCCAAGAAGAAAGCAGGCCTGCTAAGACTGATAGCAGACAAAGTTTCAGAACAGAGCCACGGAAAGAAATTAAAAAGTCATTAAAGAAAGACAAAGCCCTGTTTTGGAAGAGGGAGGCTTAAATGTTGCTTGATGCAGCTCAAAGATAGAAAATGGACATGTTGTTCAGCGAAGTTCACTGCTTTTCCGAAAAAAGAAGCGTCGACTAACAATCACTATGAAGCAGGACAGCAGTATCACGTCCGATCCTACACAAGTCATTGTGACATTGGGAAACATTTCTAGTGAACACTTGTGACTGTAAGACAAGATTCATTGTATGTTGTTTACACCTGGACTAAAGCTTGACGCAGATGCTCTACAGCCGACTTGAAGAAGTGATTGAAGCATTAAGCTGACTAAAATCCGGCAAAGCTGAAGAAATTGGTGGAGTACAACCAGAGCTAATTTAGGGGCCTGTAATGAACTTAGTGTTGGCAATGGTGAATCTCTTTGGATTGGTTTGGCAGAAGGAGAAGATCCCGAATGATCAAACGAAACCTAGTGTGGTCCGAATAGTAGGTAAACGTTGCTGCTCAGGTTCCAACAGCTACGATAGAATCAGCTTACGTCCCATTCCTGATAAATCGGTGGATAGGGTCAGACAGCGGTTTGAAGAGGTCATGGATGAGGTCGGTCTGGATTCAGGACAGGCTGAGTATATTTGGACCAGATATTCATAGTGAAAGAGCTATTGGAAAAGTAGAGAGAATTAGACCATTCACTAATGCATTTGACTGAATCTGGAGAGATGCCTTGTGGGGCATTGAACAGCAATATGAGATTCCACCCAAGCTTATTCGCATAATTAAGAGCATGCATGATCTTTCGTAAAGTGAAGTGTGAATTGATGGCGTATTCAGCAAATTCTTTCTTACGAAGTTCGGTGTAAGGCAAGGAGGAATGGAATCTCAACTGCTGTTTGCGATGTTTCTTGACCGGGTGTTTCAGCCAATACAAAGGAGTAAAAGTTAGGCGGCCTGAGTGGACAGCATCTATGTTAATTCTGTTGTATTTGCCGATGATACCGTATTATTTGCAGACAACTTTGAAGCTACGATATCATTGTTTCTAACTCTGAAACAGAGTTGTTCTGATCTCGGGTTCTCGATCATCTTAGAAAAGACGAAGTGGATAGAGAATGGTAAAAACCAAAGACTGTCTGACCCTTGATACCAGAGGTGTGGTAAAGGTACCAGAATATCTGTGTATCTTAGAAATACATAGTCTGCAATAGGACGTGCGAAATGGCATTAACAGGCGCTGTGCATTGACATTATCAGAGAGTAAAAAGTTTTTCAGGCCCTGGAAGGACAAAGATGTTAACAATATCGCCTAGCTGCGGTTGTGCAGGTCATACTTTCTGAACACCTTGCTCTGTAGCTTGGAGATTGCAGTACTAAACAAAGACAAAACTGGAAGCGACTGAAATGAAGATTTTATTGTGAATATTGGCAGTGAAGTGATACTGCCTGCTGTGAAGTGCGATTGTACGCAAGAGATTATAGTAGGCTGCTATAATTGCCGATTGACTGAAGACAACGGCGTTTAAGATAATGGGTCAGTTGTTTACGAATGGACAATGGCTGCCTTGTGAAGTCAGTTGACAGGTGACTGCCAGGTTAGCTTCAAACAAAATGGAATGATCTCGTTAGAATTGACATGACATCGAAAGTGCTGAAGAATGAACACGCATTTATTCGATCCAGGAGTTTTTGTACAGCGTCCGGTGTCTTTTTCGATGGAATGGGAGAATAAAAGAAGAGAAAGAAATATTAGTATTCGGACACTTTAAGATGAATTCAGAAGTACGCGACCATTGTTAAATCTGGTGTCGAAATCCTGAACGAACTTTAAGTTCAGTAGTAAAGCATCTGTCTAGCATATTGATATCTTGGTGCAGCTGCCCTCTGTGTAGCTGGCGAAACTTTCCTTTACACCGAATTTCTGTCTTATCTTTAGGGATTAGGGTCATATGTTGCATTATTTCAGTCCAGACGACAAAACAGCAAGCGTATATATTCATATTGGTAGCTGATGACAAAGAAGGGACAGCCGCGAGGAGACGTAGCGAGTACCATTGTTGATTAACGCTTTATAACTCTTTGATGTCCACTAAAATGTTTAGGATAGTTGCCAAGTAGATTATTAAAAACAAGCCAGTCTTATGGTAATATAGATGAATCCCTCATTGTTGTCCCCGTCAATTTCTTTGGCGTTCAGCCTTGTTCGAAATGCAGACGATGATACGAAATCCGTACGTCATATCAGTTCAAACCTTCGGTGTGCATATCTGCATGAATTGATGAACGATGTCGTCGATCCGCGTGTAGATATGCTGTTTGGTGTTTGTCTATACTTAACGAACCTGTTCGTAATTTCCGGTGTTGCTAACATATCGCTTTTCGTAGAATCCGATTCCTACAATCCGTTGAAGGTCGATGTTCTTCTACTGACACTTTTGCACCTTGGCGCTAAGTCGCTGAGTCACTCGTTTGCCGCCTTGTCGAAGTACGAATTTTTGTGTGGTTTGCTTTTGTCGCATTGTTAAAGTTTTCTTTATTGTTGTAGTTTTTGGTTTTTGAAATCTTTTCTTGGAAGAGTCATTTGTTATTGCTGAAGTTTTATGATCAGAGGCGCTGTTTGCTTCAGCTACATTTCTGATTAATTTGAAACACGCTTTTCAGCATAATTGCTGTTATCGTCGCATAATTTTGCAGTGCCTCGCTTCAGTTTAGCGGTCACTGTTCATTTCAAGACTTAACTTTTACTTTCAAACTGTATTTTCTGATTACTGGTCTGAGAAGAACAGAAATTGTAGGCATATCTATGAAGTGGAGCCATTTGTTGACACCGTTCAATTCGTTTTAGGACATCGACCGGGGAGGCACCGGCATGTAGAATTTATAGTGAAACGTTGTGCATTTGTTAGAAAATGCTTCGTTATATCCAGCGCGTTACTCACTTTGGTTGCACCGATTCGGTATGCTTAATCATCATAATCGTTTGTCGATCCGCTGCAGGGTGAAGGCTTGCAAGATTCTGCAAGGGACTTTTGTTTTTTGCCATTTTTATACACCTTGATTCGGCGAGCTTCTTGAACTCATTATGCCATTGATCTGAACGTCTTTCTGCGTTCCGTTTACTCTCTCTTGGAACCTAGTCCAGTTTTTCTCTGTAGTCACTTTTTACGGTGTGTCCTTTCCATTGCCATTTGAACTTCTTCACTCAGATAATGTCATCGCAAACTCTTGTTTGTGCCCTTACCCATTCATTCATTATTTTATCATTTCTTTTGATTTTTAAGCATGCTTCTTTCCATGCTTCCTTTTCTGCAGGTTATTAATAACTTTTTGGGTTGCGGTCCGTTTGGCAACTTCAGGTTAGCACTGGGAGCAGCACTGATAGCAAAGGGACGGTTTTCTGGAAAAAAGCATGCTTTGCTTTCCAAAAATGTTCTACGCCTATTTGATTCTTGCTTCTTTCGCAGGCGGTTCCTCTTTGCAGAGATGAGTTGCTCGAAACAGACGTGGTTCTGCATATTTTCAAGCCTGCGTTTGTTAACTCAACGATTTACGTGTATGTTAAACATGGCTTGAATCTTCTTGAAGTTCACTTTCAGTCTTGCTTGGTGCTGGCGTCGTTCAGCGCTTGCATTGTTCTTTGGAGTTCTTTTCTCTGCCGCAAACCGCAGATTTACTATTAGCTTCGGATTTTCCCAACGCATTGTCTTGAAAATCTATTCAGTGAAAATCAGTTAGAGCCTCTGCGATTGGCCTCAGTGATGTTCCTTCACCCTGTTGACCACCTTTTTCAATTTTGAACTTGCTCTTTCATGAAGTTTTACACTATGAGTTGCATTCTTGTAAATGATTGCATTGAGGCCGCTGTAAATTTTTTCTCATGATTAGTTGGCTTCTTAAGCTGTCCAGAACAAAATGGATGTAGATCGACTCGACGGCCTTCTCGAAATCGACGAACCTCAGGCAAAATGGAAGCGGATATTCAATGTTTGTCTGAATTTCCTCTTTTACCACCTGAAGATGGTCCAGCAATCTGAGTACACTTCTGAATCCTGCTTGTTCGTATGGCTGTGCAGCCTCCGGTTTTTCTTGAAGTCTGTTCATTCATTCTTTTGTGAAGATCTTGTAGATGATTTGTAGCTGTCTGATGAGCCTGTTTAAACTGGACTTTCTACTGGGCGGTATTCGTTTTTCTGACAGTCGCTCGCTAACATGATTTTTCCCTAGGACATCTTTAAAATAATTAAACTTTACAGCATATAAATTAAAAATATATCGTCTTGTCCGCAACAGCATATTTTGCAGCTAACACGCTGCATATCTGAGGCTATTTCGCTATGTGTTTAACGTTTAGATTTGACTGATAGCAGTTGATCTTGCACATCTGAAAGCAAAAGAATCGAAGTGGAAGCGATCGGTGCGCAATGCGAGCGTAGAGGTGGTGCTGAGTCTCATAAAGAGTTTCTGGTGACCACTGAGAGACTATAATATGAAGCATGGAATGATTCATCAGATTACGATTCTCTGATGTATAACTGAGGAATTTTAAACAGCCTATGTTCTACACGGCGTTCACAAACACAACCCATATCAGTCTCAGGGCGACGAAGGTATACCTTGGGCTCAAGCGACATTTTAATTTAGTTTTGCTTCTGTAAGAGTTAGTGACAAGTGTGGTCCTGTGTTCAAGGTGATAACTACATTAGCTTTTTATCTTATTCCTGATTTCAATCAAATAATATACATTACAGTGACACTTTAGCTTCAGAACTTTTGCACCCGCTTTGTTATCCGCTATAAATATACGGAAGTAATTTTCATTTGGCTCTGAAGGTAGATGATAGGGTATGGTTCATCATAACGGCCATCAGTTCCACCTCTTAGGTTTATCAAGTTCTTCTAGACAGATTTACACTGCATTTGTTAACAGGTCCGTCACTTGTAGGTCTCAATTCTTGACTGATGCAGTGGAGTTTGGTTGTTTTCAAATTTACGAAAAGTTTGTCTGATCAGCTATCTGTATGAAATACAAAAAATATCCTTTATCGTAATGTTATTCATTTTGATTCCTGTACATTTATTTTCTAAATTGAGCACAGTTTTGCTTCTCTAATTGAGTAGGTAGCATAAATGTTAGCGTTGTCACTCTTTTCACCTTTGTGCTTAGTATCCAAATTCGCAAAATCTTTCATGAGAAGATGCTGCATACTCAATTTATTATATACATATTCTCCAAAGTTTCGTATCATTCGTAAACCGTCTTCAGAGATTTATATGATGAATTGGATATGCGGTGTCATAAGGTAACGGATTTTGCGAATTTTTACTGAATTCTGGCAATGAAGACTCAGCTTCTGCTTTTAAAGATATGCGTGGGCGCTATTAGGTGCCTTGCTTGAACTTCTGAAGGCTGCTATAACATGACTCAAAATGTTGAAGAATTTGTATTATAGTCATCCCGTAGAGGACTTGGTACTGGGACTTGACTTTGGTACTTAATGTATTGCATTTAACAATTTAATACTGCCAATATGAAGCCAGCCAGTATGAAATAGTCACTATATTTCAGTTTCTGGGGTTTGTTAGTGATGTGTTGCGTGAAGTTTGCAAGTTTTTCTTAAATGTTCGTTAGCATATCTTGTGTCCGTTACACTTATGGCTAAGGAATGTGTGTTGCTAAAAAGTACGTCGTGCGTACTGTCTTTCGGGAGCACGGAGATTAATAACGTGTAAGATGGAAGCTAGTTATTCGTACCGATGCAACTGGTCATCCATTGCTGCAAAGTGTCTAATTAGCCATTAATGTTTTACCTAATTTACCTGCGAAATCAGAAGTCGTGGACAAACGCATAATTTTATGGACATCATTTTATCATGTATTTTACTTCGATCTATTCTGAATCAGATTTTTTGATATTATTCTCGGGAGCTATGCTTCGTTTCTAATTGCGAATTGTTAAAGTAATTTTGTATGAAATTTCTTTATTCGGTTTTAAATCTAAAAAATTTCAATTGTGCCGTCGTTTTAAAATGCTTAAAGTTAATCAGGTTTTACTGTTCCATTAAAAGTTTAATTCGTCGAAAGTACACACAGTGTAGTAACCCCAAATCTTGACCGAGTTTCGACGCCAGTAAGTTTGTTGTTGTTTTGTCATCGTCATCTGATTAGACTGCAGAGTAATTCAGATTTGTTGTCTGACGTGATCCTAGTCAGTCACGTGACTGTTTTGCTGTCTTTCATAGCCGAATCACTTGTTGACCTAGTTGTTAAAGGTATCTGTTCCTGTGATACCTTGTTTCGTTATTGCCCTCTCAGCATTGTGCACGTTGAGAGATTTATTTCTTGAACAGCTTCATCGAATTTCAGCAGGAATAGCGTGAAAATTCTCCTAATTGTTTTTTACTGTTTTTAGTTAAATTTGCAGATCACCTTTATTTACCGCATATGTATCATTGACTCGACTCAAAATTCCAATGGCCGTGTATTACTGTATTCTTTGCGCACTACCCTTTCGATTTCCCGTCTCATACGTCTAACGTTTCAGTCTAATGTCACGTTCAGCGTTTGACTGCGTGTATGTTTGGCCATTGATTTTCAGATGATTGGTGGCATCTCATTTTATCTGGTCGCTGAAATGAATTTTCACCGGTGCAAACCTCGACTACGGCTATGCATGCCTGAATTAATAGTGTTTAGCTCTTTGCTGGCAGAGCGTATGTTTATGCGTTTTTATCAATGCACGTTGCAAGCACTACATTGCCTGATACTGTGCAGGGTGTATAGCTACTACTATCATCTATGGCATTGAATTGAGTTGGACTGGTGTCTCATCGCCTGCTGGACATCACAAGATGGTCCATTCGTCCATCCATCTGTCACTTCATTCATTATTCAGTTCACCTCTCCGTTCGACTGTTTCTCCAGTTATAGTGTTTCTAGTCTAATTTCTGTCCGTGAGTAGCATACATCACATTTCAAAATGCAACAACCGTTAATATTAACTGCTGCGTTAAACAGGTTTTTCTGCTTGTTTGAATGCTGATTGCATGATCTGTTTCACCCGTTGTTCTGTTCGTTCGTACAGGTATCAGAGCGCCCTGAAGAATCTGGCGGAAGGCGACGAGAGGGTTCAGATCTGTGTTCTGAAGTGTGTGTTTGAAATGTGGTCCACGCACCAGCAGGTTCGCTCGCTTTTTCTCTTCACCGTTGACCATGATTTTTTATTGTGATTTTCGTTAAACTAGATGGTGACCATCATCGTCGACAAGCTGCTGAAGATGCACGTGATCGAATACTCGGCCGTCGTCCAGTGGGTGTTTTCTGAGGAGATGCGCCAGGAGCTGTTAAAGTGAGTTATTTGCATTTGTTATTGCTTTCGACTGTCGTAGCCGTTTGTAACCGAATGCCGTTCGCATAGAAAATACGTATGGGATATTGTCTTGTCCGTGGCGGCGAAGCTACATCAGCAGATTTCCGAAGCCCGTCGCGATTGCGCCAAGGTACCACAAAACCGTTGGCGCGAAGGCGTTATGCGTCGTTGTTTGCAGGCAGAGCAGAAGGACAATGCCCAAAAATCAGATCACATGGACAACGACAAGAGCGATCACGAAACCACCTCGACGGCGCTTAACAGTTGCAGAGCAAAGCTTCAGGGTCTCGAAGAAACGCAAAAAAATCTCTTTCTTGCCTTGTTTCAGGTGGGTAATCGTAAGTATTCCAGTGCAAGCGCGAGTTTGCGTTGCTTTGTTTTGTTTAGACCGCCTTTGAAAGTCTTGTTCATCCCGCGTACGGTGAGTTTACGCATATCCTTCTTCTCGGTTCATGGTCCTTGAGAGATAAACACTTCACGAGACTAAGGTACCAATTTTTCATAACGCATTTTGTTGCGGAGGACCCGTAACATCATTGGACGAACAGAAAATTCCATATGACTAATATGTTGCCGATAATGTAAAACTGATCAGCAGGTTCGGTAATGGCCGTGAACCTGATGAAGATTCATATGATAGGCAGGAACAAGAAAGGGAAGACGTTTATTCGCTTAGGCAGACAGATTGCTGACAGCAGTGGTATTTTGGCGTGATGTTACACCACATTTGTGCACAATTATATCTCAATGTACTATGCCTCTTTGGCTCTCTTACAGCCTTCGTAGTAATTCTGACCAGTTTCTGTTCATTTGAGAGAATGCTCGCTGAGATGAGCGCAAACGTACGAATGATAAGCAAGTGCTAGTTTTGCAAAGCGTTGAAAGGTGATGATAACGAAACAAAAGAAACAACCAAATGTGAGACAGGAAAAACAGTATCATTGCATATTGCGTCTTGACTCCTGCGTGGAAGGTTAACTTCAGCATACTTTACTTTAAGTTTAAATTATTCCTATTTGTCTGAAATATGGACGTCATTTTCGCTAAGCGGATATATTTCACCCAGTGCCTGTTCTGAATGGCTTACTGCTGTGTACAATTCTCTCAATACGTAGATAATTCTATGCGATTGCCCACCTTTTTAAGCGTTTTCTCTTCTACAAACTATCGCATATTTGGCATTGAATCTTCCAGAAAGTACATTCTAACTGTACCTGGCACTGTATTTATCAAGCACGCCCCGCTACGAGCTCTTTAATTTTTATTAAATGCTGAATCTTGCTTGTATTGCATACTGAAGCATGAAAATTGCTTAAGCATTCATAACCAGGGGCGCTTTAGAGCCATTTCTTCCGAATGTCTGACTTGTGTGATTTTTGCTTCTCTTACAGAATTCTGTTGCGCGCAGTAGATTGTTGTCGATGTTTCGGAAAATATCTGTTGTGCATCACTTCGAATGAGTAAGTTTACCGAGAAGGGCCTGCAACTTTTACCTAGGAATGTCGGTGTTTCTTCCCCATTTTGGCGCCATTTTTTCATGAATTTGATGGTGCGGTGCTGATCTTCGTTTTTGTACTATCAGCCACGAGTGCTTTATTTCAGAGGCCTAGTCTACAGCCACGTGGCAACGTAGCACTTAGTCCCCTGTTTCCTTCCCGCGCTGTGGTACTCATTTGTCAATTTCATAAAAGAGATTGTCACCTAAGTTTCTTCTGATAGTAGTCATGGAGTGATGGAGTATCATCGTTCGTTGTTTCGAATACATATCTGTTTTTCTCAACAGAAAGTGATATCGTACATGATTGTCTGTTGCAGTTTCTGTTTTCGATCTCGATTGATCCCAACAGAACGATAACATCTTCAACAGATATTGAATGGGAAATTGGTTTTGTCTGTGTTGTGCGGATAATGGACTAGTTGGATGTAGACTCTCATCGATCACTCGACAGGACTCACAAACTTGGAACCTCTGCGGGTTGAACTATTCTGCTCAGGTGTCGACTCCATTACCCGCACTCAGGCCGCTGTTGATGTTCTGGCAGATCTTAATCTGGCTTACTGAATTATGGAATGAAATATTATGGAGTGGCAAGTGTCTGACAGGAGTTACAGCAGGCTGAATCTCTGACCCTGTTACATGTCTGTGCACTCAGTTTGGAAGGAAAATATGAGTCCTTCTTTATAAGATGCTTTGTGCCTTGTCGACCGTCAATTTAACAGGCGATTTCAATGCACATATTGGAGCAGACACTGAAAAGTGGAGAGGCCTGATTACAAAGAACGGCCCTAGCGACCTCAGCAATAACGACATGACGTTGTTGCAACTTTGTGCGAATAACGAACTGCTCATTATGAATAACCTTCTTCGAGCATCGAAGCGCGTCAGTATATCTGATACAGAGAAGCTTATGCATACGAAGTCGATGATCGATTTGATAATCACATCATTTGACTTAAGACGCTCTGTAATGAATGTTCGTGTTAAGAAAGGTGCAGAGCTATCAGCCGTTCACCACCTTGTTTTTGGCATGCTACGCTATGAGAGATGAAGTTCCATGCAAGGATCTGGTGGCAGGAGCAACCATAGAATCAAATGGGAAACAGCATCTTCTGCGTATACGAGAGCGAAGCTTGCAGACAACATCGCACGACGGTTTGAACAGATCCCGGTGATGGCAACTGATGCTGAAACCGAGTAGCAGCTCTTTAAGAGCGGCGTACTCGAGGCTGCCACGGAACGCTGCGGATTTAAAAAATTGGGCTGCCGCCTGGAGGTCAGAAAAGAACTTCCTGGTGGACATGACTAGTTCAACTAGCTGTCAGATGAAGTTCTGTCAACTAGCTGTCAGTGTTGCACTCAGAATGTAGTTTAGAAGCAAGGAGATTTCAACCTGAATGGGGTGCGAGAAAACGCGGCAGGCGAAAGTAGTGGCCAAAGTGAACGATTCTTGGGAAAAGTTTGGTTAGTTGCTGCAGTCGAATTTTTCAGACGACAAACAAAGTATTCTGATAGACCATCCTTCTTCTTCGAGATGGAAAGAATTTCACTCCAAGAGTTCCAAAAGATAAGTGTGGACGCTTTCTTACCTGGGAATGGCGAGAGTGTTTTGACGAACTTCTTTACCATTAGAAGCTATAAGACGACTGGCTGACTAAAGAACAGTTGGCAACAGATCTTGATCTTTCAGTGGGCGAAGTCATTGAAGGTATAAAAGGCTGAAAAGTGGCAAGGTTGTTGGATCATCAGTCGATCCAAATCCGCCTCGAAATGCTTAAAACTTTAGGCGATTAGGGCATGTTGTGGTCAACACGTTACTGTCAAACTGCAATGACTACGAGGAAGACACTGGTA